TCTGATTATATTGTTGGGGTGCTCTGGGTTCTCTCTAGATAAATCTTGCTTCCAGCCGCTATTTCAGTTCGGAGATATGCAGGAAATCATTCAGAACTTCGTGCGGGTTCATGTGGATGCCCCTGGAATGGAAGAGGGGGCTCCTGTGTTCCCTTTGGGGTAAGAATTAGCTCATTACCCCTTCACTAGGCTGTGAGGCACAGGACAGATGTGGGCAAGAGTGGATCAGGGAGGAGGAAGGGGAGAGCAGTGGCAGGCACCCTGAGGTGGGGCCGTAGGGGAAGGGTGCACCTTACTGTTCCTCTCTTCCCAGATATCAGTACCCGTCTCTGGACCAGCTCGCAGACATGATCCCTTGCATCCTGCAATACCTAAAGTGAGAGGCCTGGGGATCCCTCCAGACCACAGTTCTCTTTCCAGCATGAGAAGGCCTTCAGTACTCCTGTGTCCACTGTGGTTCCTGGGCTAGTGTGGGTCTCTGTCCTCCATGTTCTTCCTGCTGCCACCCTGACTGTAGAGAGGAAGGGTGGTGGGTTTGGAAGAGGACGAATCGGAGTAACCTGGATGGATGGAGGAGAGAAAGAGGAAGGGTCTGTGTTTGGTCCTACCTCAGGCTAAGGAAGGGCTTCTTTGACTAGGAAGCTAGAGAGGAAGTGGGTGGGGGTGACCTAATCCCTGAGGAACCAGATAGACCTGTCTCTTTCCCTCCTACTCCCACCTCCTGTGTACACACACCTGGGAAACTGGGAGCCCGTGTGTAAGCGAGTGGGAGGAAGAAGGAAAGCCAGGCAGGCTTCTCTGGCACGCGGAGGAGGGTGCTGGCTCCTGGGTCCTGTTCTAGGCTCTGTGGATCTCAGCAGCTCCACTTCACCTTGTGGAGTCTGTTCCCCCAGTCTCCCTATTCTGTTTGCATATTTGGCTTTAAGTTCTGTTCTTCTCGGTCCTTGAAAGGAACCAGGAACTAAAGCAGAACAAGTTGAATCGGTTCCCAAAAAATTGAGAATGGACAAAGAGCGTCCCACATAGGAAAACTGTGTCTGATCCCTTGGTTGGCAGACGAGTGTCTCTCTTTGACATTAGCTCTCCAAGAAGTAGACTTCAGCATCTCCAAGAAGTAGACTTCAGTGTCAGCCTGCATCTCCTTAGTACCTTCCTTCTTAGCATCCCCTAGAGGAAAATCCCTTCCTGTCCTTTGTGCCAGTGGCCCCGGGAAGGAGGGTGAGAAGTTGGAAGAGATTGGGCTGTGGCAGGTTTGGGCCACCAGAGCGGGACATACATTCCCTTTTACAGTTTCTCTACAATAATTGGAGTTGGCGTTGGAGCTGGGGCCTACATCCTGTCACGATACGCTGTAAGAAATAGCAACCCTCCACAGACGGAAAGGGGCTTCAGGTTGATGAGGAGAGCATTGTTTATTAGTGTGTGTTTGGGGGAAGAAGTGGGTACGAGGGTGGGAGTCAGGCCCTATGGGAGCCCGAGAGTGGGTGGTACCTACTGGAGAGGGGATGAGGCTGTGTCCGGTTTCTGATGTCCGTCCTCCCACTGCCTCTCAGCTTGCCCACCCAGACACAGTGGAAGGTCTTGTCCTCATCAACATTGATCCCAACGCCAAGGGTTGGATGGACTGGGCAGCCCACAAGGTATGGAGGGGCCTGTGAGCCGTGATCTAGGGTGGGGGTGCCCTCTGTCTGGCACAGTTAGGCTCTACCAGCACAACTGAATAGATTCTGTACTTCAGGAACAGGGTACTGGGCACTGAAATGAAGCTGCATCGCTTTGCCTGGGTCTGTTTTCCCCATCTTGTCTGAACTTTTTCACCTGCCCTTTCCTCATAGCTAACAGGCCTCACCTCTTCCATTCCGGAAATGATCCTTGGACATCTTTTTAGCCAGGTAAGTGACTCTGGGAGATGGAGGGAGTAGAGGGGACCCGCAGGGAATTGAATGTTGGAGGTGGTTTAGCTGGGATGAGATCTGGGGAAGGAAGGAAGGAAGGCTTGTCCCATCTCATCCAGTAATTGTTGGCTTCTCTTTCCAACCTAATTTTTCTATTCTGTCCTTCAGGAAGAATTGTCTGGAAATTCTGAGTTGATACAAAAATATAGAAATATCATTACACATGCACCCAACCTGGAGAACATTGAGCTGTACTGGAACAGCTACAACAAGTGGGTGGGCTCTGTGTGTGTGTGTGTGTGTGTGTGTGTGTGTGTGTGTGGTGGGGGGGAGGCAGACAGAGAGAGAAATGTAGAAGCAGGTCCTGTGGGTTGGGAGACACTGAAGGGGAGAGGGAGGTCTGGAAAGTGTAATATACGAGGGGACAGGTTTGGTGTGCACCTGAGCCAGCTTTAGGACTAGCCATTGGGAAGAACTGTGAGGAGCTTCCCCTCTTTTTCTTTTTTATCTCCCTTGGATTTTTGGATTCTCAGAAGTAAGATGATCTCTTGTCTTTATGTCCTTCTGCCCCCTTCTGGCCCTCTGACCGCAGATCTAGGGCCTGAGTGACAATAGGGGTTGTACTATAGGGATCTGCCTATTACCTGGGTTGCCTTCAGTTTTGCTTTTTTTTTTTTTTAGGTTTTTGCCATAGGACACATATATTTGCAAGAGAGAGACAGAGAAAGTCAGAAATCATTTCCCAGGGGGAATGGCCATACCACAGTCCCTTCTCTGGGCTCCTGTACTCACATGTCCAAATGTGATTTTCAAGCTGCTGGGTCTGGGACTCAGAGCATAGTCAGCCATGCAGGCGTCTAGCACGTTAACCAGCATGCTGCCTGCTGGCACCCAGTTTCTACTTTTAGTCACCCCTATTTGACCATAAATTTTGAAAGGAAGATAGCCAGTTAGTGGGGAAGAGAGTTTGTTTATATCTAGGTGGTTTGCATTGCCTGCCTAAAATTCCTACCCTGTTAATCCCTTTCTAGCCGCCGAGACCTGAACTTTGAGCGCGGAGGTGACGTCACTCTCAAGTAAGCCTTTTTGAGATACATCTCCCTAGATCTGCCCTAGGTGCTTACTTGCATCCCTTGTGGGAGGGAGAGTCTTCTGCCAGAGAATTTCCTTGTTACCTCCCGCCCCACCTTCATTAGCAAGTCATGTCCCTCCAGGTCTTCTCCCTTGAAATCTTCTTGGTAGGGTCAGCAGGGGGAACCGAAGGCTGTTTCCTCTTTGGAGCCAGACATTTCCCCAGCTGCTCTTCTAGGAAGTGGAGGGTGAGGGAGTGCCAGGGGCTCACCCCCTTCTCCCTGACGCCATGCCTCTAGGTGCCCCGTGATGCTGGTGGTAGGAGACCAAGCACCCCATGAAGATGCAGTGGTCAGTAGGGGACTGGGGGCTAGGTGAGGGAGGGTTGGTGTCCTAGGATGGTGTCAGAGGGGCATCTTGCCAAAGCCCAAGCTCTGGGGCAGGGAGACCAACCTTGGGGCCTTAAGAATTTGATTCTTGGTAAAAAGTAGCTGGGAAGGGGGCTGATAGGAAAGAGGCTGGGTCTGGGGCTTTTGGCCACAGGGAGTGTGACCTCATTCATTCAGCCTCCTGCTTAATCCAGGTGGAATGTAACTCAAAACTGGACCCCACCCAGACCTCATTTCTCAAGGTCAGTAATCCTACTCCATGCCCCGCCTGACTCCTGGCCCCTGCACAGACCCGTATCTCCTCTCTAGATTTAGCTTCTGAGCCTCCAGGGTCTTGCATGGGAGCGAGTGGGGCAAGTGAAGGAAGCAACAAAGGGGCTAGAGGGAGGACCTGGGCAAGAGAGTTCCTTTTCACCTGTCCGCACGGCTCGTTTGATTGATGTATGTATCACTTTATCTGGGTGTCTTTCTCCTGAACAGATGGCTGACTCTGGAGGTCAGCCCCAGCTGACTCAGGTGAGTCCCACTGCTGGCCATGGGAGGGGGAGGCGGGGAGAACATGAGTGCCACTGAACTCTGCCCTTTGCCACATATTCCACCCCCAAACTGCTGTGGCCTTGGGCTGCGGCTCAGCCCCCCTGTCTCTCTCTCCTCATCTTACTCCCACAGCCAGGCAAGCTGACCGAGGCCTTCAAGTACTTCCTGCAAGGCATGGGCTACAGTGAGTGTGGAGACAGGCTCTCCTGAGGGACTGCTGCACACGGGAGGGATGGGTGCTGAGGGCTGGAACCATTTCATTCCTGGACTCAACCACCATCTGCCAAACCAAGCTTGTTGACCCCCTGGCCTTAGTTCTAACTCTGGTCTCCACCCAAGCACTCCGCTGTGAGTTGCCAACCTCCTTTCCCCACGTCCTCCAACTGCCTGTCCACCTGTCTCCACAGTGGCCTCATCCTGCATGACCCGCCTGTCCCGGTCTCGCACAGCCTCTCTGACCAGCGCAGCATCCATCGACGGCAGCCGGTCCCGCTCTCGCACCCTGTCCCAGAGCAGCGAGTCTGGGACTCTCCCTTCAGGGCCCCCGGGGCACACCATGGAGGTCTCCTGTTGAATGACCCTTGGTGCCCTGGTGTGGGACCCAGCCCTCTCCTCCTCAAGCTCTAACCTGGGAGGTGCATAAGGGCACTGGGCCAGAGTAAGCAAGGGAAAATGGGCAGATCATGTGGAGGAATGACCTTGATCTTTGATTGCTACCCTAACCTTGACCTTTAACCTGTGATCCCCCGGCTGTGGGGAGAGATGTCCTAATATCTTAGGGAACCAGACCCCTAAATTATGCCCCTCACCAGTTTTGGTGTTAAGGTGGAGAGGGTCTGCATCCTCGCCCCCGATGTAGGTGTCTCTAGGGGGATAAGAGGTTGTTGTAGTTGTCAGGGTCTGACTACTTATCCCACATTTGCAGGGGAGAGGATTTGGGGCTGGGGCTCCATTAACCAAAGCTGATAGGGCTTTTCATGAACCCTTCAGACCTCTGAAGGGCATGGGCCTAATGAATGTGTGTTGGGGGTGATATGTTGGTGTGTTAGTGTCCTCAGGATGCGATAGAAACATCCGCTGTGTAAAAGGAGTTGGAGTGAGGTGGTGGGCAACCAGTGAGTGTTGGGGAGGAATTGGAGCCGGGCAGTAGGAAGGGGCCTGGGCCACGTGGCTGCACTAACTCTGGTAGCTGTCAGTGTGCATCTAGAGTGGGATGGGGAAGGAGGGAGTCCAGCTTGGGCCGAGCTGCAGGGGCTCGACGTAGGGGTGGGAAGGGCTACCCTGGGCCTTGAGTGCACTGTACCGGGTGTGGAGGGACCCTCCTGTCTCCCACGACTTCTGCTGTAACAATAAACTGTAGAAGAACCTGAGCACCATCAGTGTTCTTTGTCTGGATAGGCCTGCATCACCCCCCTGTCCTGTCCTCGCCCAGCGTAACTCTCACATGCTCTTCTCAAAGTGCCATAACCACAGGAGCAGGACAGCTGAGGATGACCACGTGGAAGCTGCCCCTGTGCCAATAGGACCATGCTGCCCTTGCCAGTGACAGTATTTTCAAGCTTGGGAGAAAGGGCTGCTTAGATCTCAGGACACTTTATTAGTTACAGATCATTGAGAAGGGCCATAGCATTTCAGAGATGCCACTGACATTGAGGCCCAAGAAGGAAAGACAGTGGCTGAAGTGCCCAGAGAAATCTTGTGACCCACTTCCCTCAGGATCGTCCCCGGGATTCACCTGGGTTCCACTTCAGGCTCATTATAGTCAGTAGACCATGACTCATGAAATTCCCTCAGGGATCGGATCACTCACAGTTCATCCAATCTGAAGACTTCTGGGAGGGTCACAGCCATAAGGAGGATTTCCTCTCAGGAATTCACCCTGCCCCCCACGGAGTCCAAAGGGTCTGTGAGCAATTATACTGTTTGTGGTCCTCTAAGAAGCTTTTTAGCAAATGAGAACACAATCATCAGGAAGAATTGGGATAGTTTGCTGCCCTGGCAGCCTGGATCTGAGGCTCTGGGGACACGCGAAGTGTATTTCAGTGACTGCTACAAGGTCATGTGCCAGCTTGCTTTATAGAAGCTGCATAGACATTTATGTATGTTCCTCGAGGAAATCGGCTGAGGACTAGTTCAGCTTGATGCCTCAGCTGACAGATCCACATGGAAGTAGGGTATCGAGAATGCTTTTGATTCTTGAACATGTCATTGCTGTCCCCCATAGGATTTAGTCTATTTTAAATACGGTAGGCCTGGGTCAATAGGGGATGACCAAAAGCAGGGCTGGCAGACAAGAGTGCTGAAATTAGGCACTGAAGAAAAAAAAAAAAACAGGCCAGCCCATGCCCTGGTGGTTGAAGAAGCCAGATCCTACAAGGCTGATTGCCCAGTTTGAGTCCAGGCCCCTGGCACTTGAACACTAGGTGCATGTGTATGTATGTCTCAGATCCCAACAGTCTGGAGAAAGAGAAGAGACTGCAACATGGATGCTCACTGGGTACTTTCTCCCTCTTTTTCCCTCTGACAAGCACATAGGCCTTCCAATAAAATAAAAAAAGAAAAGAAACAACATGGTGTAATTTTGGGGACCAACTTTTTTTTTTTTTTTTTAACTTGCTATAGGGTATGTGTGTTCACCAGAGAAAGAGGGAAAGTAAGAAAGCATTCTCCAGGGGAATGTCCACAATGCAATCTCTTCTGCATTCTCCTATGGGATTTTTGGGCACACACATGCACGTCTGGTGTGTTTTTCAAGTCACTGGGTCTGGGACTTGAACCATGCAGTTGGCCATGTGGGATCCAGTTGCCTTAACCATACTACCAGATGGCTAGCCCTCAGGGCCAATCATCTTGACAAAAAAAAAAAAAAAAAAAAAAAAAGGCAAAGCTTAAAGACAAGCATCAGACTTCATGGTGTATAGTTGCTCTCGTGCATTCCAGAAGGGAGTGCAAGTGTTTTCTACATGTATGTCTACACAGCACAGTTAGGAGGGTAATCTTTAGAAATGGATAAATTACATCCATGTGTACATATTGCATGTGTATGAGTATACATCGATCATGTAGGTGGGCGTGTGAAATGTGTGGTGAACGTGTCTCCTCTATGACCACAGGAGAACTAATTGACCCTAATGCTTCCAGTTATGTGGTTCTTTTTTTTTTTTTTTAAAGACATTTTTGCTGTAGGGTATGTGTGTTTGCTGTAGAGACAGAGACAGGAAGCGAGAAATCACCCCTTGGGAGATGGCCGCACCCCAGTCTCTTCTCCATTCTCTTCCTGGGACTTTGGGCATGTACACATGTGCCTGGCATGAGTTTTAAGCCACCATGCCAGGACTTGAACTGTGGTCAACTACGTGGGAGTCCAGTGATGTAACCATTACACTATGTGCTGGTCCCTATATGGTTCTTCTTTAGAGTGGCATTTCAGCATTTTTGTTCTCTCTCTTTTTTTTAATTGCTAGAGGGCATGTGTGCTTGAGAGAGAGAGAGAGAGAGAGAGAGAGAGAGAACTCTCCAATGGGACATGGTCCTACCATGATCCTCTCTCCACCATTTCTCTATCTTGTCAGATTTGGGGCATACATGCACACATACCCAGTGTTTTTCAAGCCACCAAGGCTGGAATTTGAACTGCTATTAGCCATGTGGCTTTATTGTCTTCCATAAGTGAGAGAGGCAGAAACAGAAAGAGACAAAGACAACATCCTAACAGTTGTCATGCTATGGTCCACCCCCAGCTTCAGCCAACCCTGGATTATGAGCACATGTGTGCCTGGAGTGTTCAGAGAAATCAATGCATGAGAGCCCAGAACCTTCCCAAATGGGTCAGCGTCACGGTGTGTGCATTACTAGTGTGTGCTGTGTGCTGCCATTTGGACCCTATTTCAGCACTCTTGCTTCCTGTCCTGCTTGTGATCATCCAGTGTCCCCTTTCTGGTCCTGGCCTATGGATGTCTCTGCATAACAAGTCTGAGTTAGGAGGAGGGAGAGACTGGTGGGAGCTAGGGAGAGGAGTTTGCTGTTCTAGGCTGACCTCACTACCCTGTTGGACCCACTCTAGTCTGGCCCACGGGGACACAGTGCCCCCCAGTGGTTGGCGTGTTCTTAACCACTTTCCCCAGGTCCCTTCCTGTTTACTAAGGAATGGCACAGCCCATTGTTGTCTGTGGCTGTCCCCAGCAGCTCCGCAGGGAGGTCCTGAAGTCAGGGCCTGCTGCTCCTCCCCATGCTCAAGATCAGAGGCCCAGAGGCTCAGAGGAGGGGGTGGGGGGGAACCTCACAGAAGCTGCACCACAAACACCCTATGTTTTGGTCTCTGCTTCAGGCTTAGGACTCCTGTTGCTCTCTTCCTCTCAAGGAATGTATTTCTAGGGACAGAGCCCAAGATAACTAAGAGAAGGTTCAATGAGCCAGTGAGTAAAGCTCGGGTAGAGTGAACCAAGCCTTTATGACTTCAGGTTGAAAATTCTGGATCTCCTGAAGAGTTACAAGGGCAAGTCTCTGAAGGCACCCACAGAACGGTGAAGCTGCAGTAGGAGGGTAGGTGCTAAAGGTCAGAGTCCTTTTTTTTTAAAGAATTATTTTATACTTTATTAAATTTCACCAGAGAGGGGCAGAATGAGTGAGCAAGAGAGAGAAAGACAAAGGGAAAGTGAGAAAGGAAGCTGCCAGATCCAGGTCTTGAACCGCAGTCAGCCATGTGGAAGTCTAGTATCCTTCACCACCATGCCACTTGCCAGCCCCCTGTCAGAGTAGTTTAATGGTTAGGGAAATGCCTGAGTGGGGTACACTTTTTTTAAAAAAATAATTAAACATGTAACATTTTGCTATAGAGTGCATGTGCTCTCCAGAGAAGAAAGTGAGAATCCACCACGTGAGCAGGGATGGCCAAGTCACAGTGCCTTTTCCATTTTCCTCTTGGGATTCTGGGCACACACATGCATCAGGCATATTTTTCAAGCCATTCAAACCACCTGTTCTGGAGGTGTTCTTGAACACACAGTCGGCCATGTGGGATCCAGTTGCCTTAACCATACCACCTGACCAACGTGGGAGATACTACCTTTGTAGAGAGATTTCAACACTAACTGGAAAGTGAGTCCGTTCTAACTAGAGGCCTGGGGTGTGGTGAGAGAAAGGGTGTCCAGGGTGATGAGATTTGTTGTTGTCTCCTCACTAATGTCAGAAATTCTCCCTAATTGGATAACTACATAGTGAAAGTAGAGTGCATTCTGTATCTGACATTCAAGAAAGCTACAGACAGTAACTCAGAACACAATCCAAAATCTACAACCAGCATTTGAGACTGGTGTCTGGAGGAGTGATCCCCTCTGTATCCCTTATGCTGCATGTTTCTAGTGGCAGTGGGTTCCCCCCGCAGGTCCATGGAGGGAGTGTGTGAGGGTCAGGTTGCCACTTGCCCCGCAACATACCAACCCACTCAAAATTCTGGCAGCTGTTGTGTTCTGTCAGACCCACACGGGGAGCAATGGACTGCTGTCTGTGGTGAGGGAGGCAAGACACTCTAGAACTGTCCTTTAGGGAGACACAGAACAGCCCGAATTGTCTCACAGAATGAGTCTGGAGATGTGGGTCTTGTTCCTGTCTTTGTTGATCTCTGACCGACCTCCCACCCTGCTGCAGCACATTCTCTAACTCTGGTGTCTTCGATGCCATCCCTCATCTCTTTCTTCACAAATCGTCCTCCTACAGCTGCGATATCCAAACCAAACTGCTCAAAAGCAAAGGAAAGGTCGGGGAGTTCTAAAGAGGTACTTCAGAGAATGCTTTATTGGTGGCGGATAAATTGCTTTATGGAAAGGAAGGCAGGTCTTTTCCACATGTTTGTCTATACGGGTAACATTGTTAGTACAGATCTTTAGCAATGGGAGCAAATTACATTTATGACCCGTATG